GTCATGGGGTACAGTGTGCTGGTTTTATATACAATTTGAAATACTTTCATCAAACTGGTTAACATAGCCTTCATGGCATCCTCTTAGTTATTGTGTTAAGACATTTATATTCTATATTTAGAAAGACATCATTTTTTTAAAAAGACTTTCTTTAATCCATTGAATTGTCTTTGCAGCTATGGCAAAAATCAGTCAACTACACTTGTGTGGGTTTATTTCTATTCCCTTGACTCATAGGTGTATTTCTTTGCCAATATAACTTTGTCTTGATTTTATTTTATTTTTTTTTTGAGACAGAGTCTCAAGCTGTCACCCTTGGCAGAGTGCCATGGCATCACAGCTCACAGCAACCTCAAACTCTTAGGCTTAAGCGATTCTCTTGCCTCAGCCTCCCAAGTAGCTGGGACTATAGGCCCCTACCACATCACCCAGCTATTTTTTGGTTGTAGTTGTTATTGCTGTTTGGTGGGCCTGGGCTTGATTTGAACCCGCTAGTTCTGGTGTATGTGGCTGGCGCCCTAGTCACTGAGCTACAGGCGCCAAGCCTCTCTTGATTATTGTAGCTTTATAGTAAGTTTTAAAATGAGCAATAGGAAGACTCTTCCAACTTTATTCTTTTTCAAAATTATGTTAGCAATTCTAATTCCTTTGCCTTTCCATATAAAGTTTAGAACCAGCTTGTTTATATTTATCAAAATAATGCTATGATTTCAAAAAAATCAATTTATTTCTATTTACTTATTTTTCAGAGCCATAGTCTCAGGCAATAGAATGAGCCAGAGTGCAGTGGCATCATCACGGCTTACTACAACCTCAAACTCCCAGGATAAAGCGATCCTCATGCCTCAGCGTCCCAAGTACTTGGGACTACAGGCATGTGCCACCATACCCAGCTTATTTTTTTTCTATGTTTTGTAGAGATAGGGTCTTGCTGTGTTGTGCAGGCTGGTCTTGAACTCCTAGCCTCAAGCAACCCTCTTGCCTCACCCTCCCAAAGTGCTGGGATTACATGTGTGAACCACCAGGCAAAATGCTATGATTTTTTTTTTTTATAGGAATTGGACTAAACCTAAGCTCCATCTGGGGAAAATTAACATCTTTACTATAAAGTCTTCTGATCAACGAATACAGATATCTGTCCATGGACTTAGCTTTTCACTGATTTCTTTCATAAGAATATTTTATTTTTTAGCACTCAGATTCTACACGTTTTGTTAGACTTATTACTAAGTCTGTTGAGGGGAGATAGTCAATAATATGGCTTTTACATTTCTGTTTCCAGTGTTCATTGCTAAGACACAAACAGGGTCAAATCCATAGGGTGGATTTGTTATTGTTCTTGTTGCCTGTGCAGCCTGTGACCTTTCTAAACTCTTTTATTGATTTGATGAGCTTGTTTGTGTAGAAAGTAGGGACTTTTTCTACAGACAACTGTCATCTGTATATAGGAATAGTTTCATTTCTTCCTTTCCAAATTAGATGCTTTTGGTTCTTTTTCTTGTCCTCTGACAACCAGAAAGATGTTGACTGGGAGTGGAGAGAGGGGACCCTCTCACCTTGCTCCTGATCCCAGGGGACGGTGTTTAGCCTTCTCCCGTAATGTTAGCTCAGATTTTGGTAAGTGTCCTTTTTTACTCTTATTCCTAGTTTGCTGGGATTTTTTTTTTTTTTTTGAGACAGAGTCTCACTCAGTTGCCCTGGGGTTGAGTACTGTGGCATCACAGCTCACAGCAACCTCAAACTCTTGGGCT